AATCTAACAATGAGAATAGGAGATTTTCACCAGTGGTGCACAGGTAGGAAGTATTTTAAGGTCAAAGTATGGGAATGAAATCATTGCTGTAGAGCATAAACAGTTCAAGAACTGAAAAATAATTAGGAAAGTGTGATGTGACATGAATTCATAACGTTCTATAAATAATAAAATTTAATAAAACATTTTATTTATTATATTCATGGTTGTTTGATTATTTCAGATGATCAGACTCAAGTCCTCATTTCAAAGTTGGCAAAAAAGGGCAAAAATACCTATCATTCTTACACTTAGGAGAAGTTCTTTTGTGAGATCAAGTCATCATATTCAGTTTAATGAATTGAACTAACTGCTTTGAGTTGATTGGTCTAAAGTGGTTTGAAAGCATCATATGCCTGTAAGCTAAGAACCACTTTAAGACAGTAACTGTAGGAATGATTTTTCAAGCTAGAAGTATACTGAAATATCAGAGTCATTGACATAACTACTCCTTGTATGCCAAGCATGGTAATAAGCCCTTAACACATTCTATCTTTCTTGATCCTTGTTAACCTTCCTATGTGGTAAATAGCATGGTCCTTCTGTTGCAGATGAGAAAAAAGTATTGCTTAACAATTAGTGAAAAAAGAGCCCATGAATTTGAAGGAGAACAAGAGGGAAGGGAGAAATGTAATTATATTATAACCTAAAAATAAAAAGTATAAAGAAAACAAAAGGTGATGAATGTGATTAAAGTACTGAGCTGGCGATTTGTTGGTCCGGATGCTCTCCTGGATTGTGTCTCTCAAAACAGTGACTTAGTTTCCTTTCTTGTTGAGATGATGAAATAACTCTGACAAAAGGCAATTTAGGGAAGAAAGGGTTTATTTAGCTTACAAGTCTGTATTACAGGTCACTGTAGCAGAGAAGTCAAGGTAGCAGAAACTTGAAATAGGCAGTCATACCACACCCACAGTTAAGAGCAGAGAAAAGTGAATGCATGTGTCATCACATCCTCCCTACTCCTGTGTAGTCCAGGATCCCCTGCCTAGGATATGGTGTTGCACCCAATAGGCTGGGTCTTCCCACATCAGTCATTGCCATCATGACAGTCCCAACCTGACCTGGACACTTCTCATTAAGGCTATCTTTTCAAGTGATTCTTGATTATATTTAGTTGACAAAAATCATCACAGTGACTGACTCTGAGTATAATCTTAAGAATAAGGATTAAAAAAAATTACACAAATCTTAAAACCTTCTGAAGCTAGCTTTGCTGGTTAGATGAGTGCAATGACATCATGGGGTAAGTTTTTTGTTAGAGATAGGGAATTTAAATTTATTCCTCACATACTTGAGAGCAAAAGAAGAACTTTGCTGATAAACCACACGTGCAAACATCCACACATCTACACACAGACAGTAAGTCTTCATTTGTTTGTCAATTTTTGTCACTAATGCAATAGAAAGATCATTAAAATACTGGAGCATTTTGAGTAATTTCATATTTTGCAAAATGTATCGATTGTAAAGTTCACAGCTGCATCTGAGTTATGATAAGAAAGGTAAGTTAGATGACAGACCTCACTGGAGTGGCATGGGCACATGGAAGAAGAGAAGAATGCCCAAACATCCTTTGATTTGTTTGGAAGTTGCTGTGTTAAATGTATTAATGATCCTGTAGCGTCGTCTTTAATGATCCTGAATAAAGTCTACCTTTCACATTCTAAATCAAACCCACTTATTAGCTATGTTATCTTAACACAGCTAAACAAACAGTGAAACCCAACCGTAAAGCAGCAGTGTTGGTAAGATCCACGCCAGCTGTGAAGCTGTCCAGCTGTTTCACCTGAGCAGGTAATTTCAGCTTCGGAAGCATTTGCTTTTGAGAATGTAAGAATGAAACCAAGCCTCAGTTGGGTTTTATGGGGCTAAGTTAGATAAATCTATGAGATTTCACGTTATTGAAATTTAGGAATTGGTAATTGCCCAAATACTATTAACTACAACATAAAAGTTGCTATTTTTCATAGATATTGCAAGTTAATTAAAATATAAATGGGAAAATCAAAGTCTGTATAAGTACTTCCAAACTACTCAAATGACTCAACAGAATCTGTGTTTGAGTGAAAAGGAACCTCTCAGACTCAGCACAATGAAATTCCTATCTCAAAAGATGCCGTATTGGATGGGGAATGTCCCAGTGGGTCAATAACTTGGCACACAAGCATCAAGTACTAAGTTGAGATCTATCTCTAGCACACATATGAAAAGCACACTTATGGTGGGATACATCTGTGATTTTCATTCTGTGTGGCTATAGGGGTGGATGCTGTGGAACACTGTGAGAAGCACTGACGAGTCAGTCTGGCCAATACAGCAAACTCTAGGAAAAGTGAGAGATTCCATCCTCAAAAGCAAGGTGGAGTTCATGTGAGTAATGATACATTATCCAGACATATAGTTACCCACAGTTTGGCTCTTCCAACCTTCCCCCCCCCCCCACTCTTCTGCAAGAATCTCTACTGGCTGAATGGGAATCAATTTTCTTCAGAGATGTGGCCCCTGGTAGACCTCCTCAAATTTACAGTAGCTGGTCCTACACCCCTGTATATCCTTGCAGCCCTAAGTTGGACTCGGTGCGTTTAAAAACAGAGCACCTAAAGCTGGGGTAGAAAAGTGGAGGTGGTGTGAGCTAAGGGAGAAGTTAGAAAAGGGAGAGTGGGAGCTGGGTTTGATAAAAACTTCTTCATTATACATGTATTTTATATATATATATATATATATATATATATATATATATATATATATGAAAATTTCAAGCAATACAAACAAAAGTTGGAGCATGTGATGGTTTGAATAAGAATGGTCCCCATAGGCTCACAGATTTGAATGCTTGGTTGCTAGGGAGTGGCACTGTTTGAAACAGTTAGGAGGTGGGGCCTTGTTGGAGTAGGTGTGGTCTTATTGGTGAGTGTCACTGGGGGTATTATTGATTGATGTTTCAAGGGCTCAAGCCAGCTTGTCTCTCTCTCTTCCTGATGCTTGTGGATTTGGATGTAGAACTCTCAACTGTTTCCAGCACCTTGTCTGCCTGTGTGTCATGCTCCGTGCCATGACAATAATGGACTAAACCTCTGAAACTGTAAGCAAGTCCCAATTAAATGCTTTCTTTTAAAAGAGTAGCCTTGGTCATTGTGTCTCACAGCAATAAAACACTGACTAACACAGAGAGTAATAGAGGAAGACATTAGACACCAACCTTGGGCTTTCCACATGTGCACACACTGAAACATACATACACACATAGAAACACACGTATACACACACACAGTGGGAGGAGCTAAAATGGAAACTGTCTTGTGCAATATCAAGAACAGGATGAAGGTCAGCAAATACTTGCTGTGTTGTTATTAGAAGCTCGACACTATGGCAAAGGAGGCTGCCATCATTTTAATTTCGAAGAAAACTTTTTTGTGTGACTCAAAGTAAGTTAGCTCTTAGATCTCTTCACGTGGATATCCAAAAAAGTGAGATTCCCCCCATTTTGTGAATGTCTTTCATTTTATGATTTGTTGTTTTGTTTTTATTTTTTTGAGACAAGGTTTCTCTGTATAGCCCTAGCTATTCTGGACTAGTGTGGTCTTGAACTCAGGGATCTGCCTGCCTCTGTCTCCTGAGTTCTAGGACTAAAGGCATGCACCACCACACCCAGCTTTGTTTTTTCATTTTAAAGTAACTTTTGCTGTACATATGTACATATATATGTATATATATACACATACATACATATATAGAGAGTATATGAATAGAATTCCATGCAGATTCCTAGGTTTTTAAAATAATTTTTGCATAGCTACTTCTCATTTATTTCACTTATGCAGCTATCTATCATCTATCAACCATCTATCTCTCTCTCAATCTGTATCTTCCCTCAGTGATTTGAGATAATGTGCCCTTTCACTTAAACATGCCAATGGATGGCCTCTAATCTAAGGCATTCTATGTTGTTTTAAGTGTAACATTTTTATTCATGGTATGGGAATTTCATGCACACATACAATGCATTCTGCTCATAGTCAACCTTCATTTTCTAATAAAACTGCAATACAGCTTTTGAAAGGACAAACTGATGCTGAGCTGGATGCACAGGCTCTTGTCAATCATGCTCTCTAGTTCTGTAAACTTTCATTCAAGAATTTGGATCAATCAAGAGCTTTTCCTTAAAGTCCAGTGTTGTCCTTTCCTCAGCTGTATTTACTATCAGTCTCATTTTATGGCATCAAAACAGAACCACAAACACTGACTCTATACGGTGAGTGTATTACTAAGGTAAGTCACATGCAGAGCCTTCTATAGCATCACGAGGCATGTCCTTTGAAGCTGGGAATTGCTGCCCAATAAATAATACATATAATCAACCATTAAGTGCTAATACTAAAAATGATGACTACAATATGTCATTGGTTTAGAAGTCAATAAATGTCCACTTTTAATTTTAAAAGACTTCCCTGTAAGTTCCCTCTTGTTTCATAGTGAAAGAGAAGTAGGTATGTCAAACTCACATAGTATCAGTCGAAACACAGCTTTCAAAACCCAAGTGGCCATTTACTACTTATCCCAGGTTAGGCAAAACATTTTATAGGAAGTACATCCTGATGAAAGCCTCACCTGCTTTCTAGGCTGGAGGTATCATTTATGCTAATTGCAGAATGGCATGAATTTCAAGGAAGAGAAGCATCTCAAATATTTCTGAATTCTGCCATCTATCCTTCAGTGTCAAGCAGATTTCGACCCCACTGCATCGGTGAAGTCCATCAGATTGAGCCCGCTACATCAGACTTACCTGAGTACGAAGGTACTCTGATCTGGGAGCTAGCTGTTCCATCCCCTCCTTCACTGTATGCTCGAACTTCAATAATGTAGACTCCGGCCTCAGGGAGAGGCACTACAGCTTGAGGTTTCTGTGTTTCAATAACTTGACTTTTGCTCTGACCCTCTTGCCTATAAAAAACCTGTGAATAGTAACAGAGGCTGGAATGACTTGTTATTCAGTTGGACATTGCAAATGTTTCTTGAATGCCAACTACACACTGCACTCTGAGTTGGGCACAGGACTCCACTGCTTAGATACGTAAGCAAATGGGCTGCAAGTGTGACACGTGGTGATGGAAGAGCAGATGGGCAATAGCAATGCAAGAAGGGAATGTGTCTAGAGATCAAGGAAAGACCTTTGTCTAAGCTAAGTGTTTGAAGACAGCTTGAAAGCAGACATGTGGTTCACACCAGTAATCTGAGTACTTGAGTGTGTGGCAGAAAGATTGCCCTTAGTTCAAGAAAATCCTGAGCTACAGGGTAAGATTCTGTCTCAAAAAAAAAAAAATCTAAAAATAAATGGAGATTTCTAGATATAAGAGAATAAAAATAGGAAAAACCAAACCCAAAACATTTAAAATAATAAGAAACTATGATACCCATGCATTGGATAGAACACATGATAAACAAGAACAGGAGAAATGAGATTAGAGAAGCAGGCAGTAAGTCACGAGTGAAAGTTGAAGCCTGGTCCTTGAAAAGGGTGGTGTACAGAACAAGAACTCATGTTCCCTGTGTTCATGGCAGTTCCTCTAATACCAGAGACACAATTAGAAGTGAAATTGGGGTGACGTGTACTATAATGATGCGTGCGTGGAGACACCACAGTGTGTAGAATGGCTTGGAAGCTCCTTGAGTGGAAAGGTATAAAGAGAACATTGCTCAAAATTTAAAGCAAAACTCTTAATAAATGACAATCAGAGTCAAAACTTCAATTTTCATTTTAGCAGAGTTAACATACTGATGAACTTGTGTTTGGATGACAGTGGGATACAGAGTTAACTTTTTTTTGACATGCATCCATAATTGCATAATTAAACACATTGCATGGCGAACAGATGCACAAATCTGGACACAATATTATCTGGTTTGCTACACAACCGAGACCGCAGAGGCAGTGAGATCCTTTCTAAAAGGCTGTGGCAAGTTAGGCAGGAATTCCATTAGGAGGTGAGTGTTGTGCATTGATCATTTTCTAACTACCCACTATGCAAAGCTTTCCTTATGCTTTTGCCTCCAATAATAGTTTAGCATAATTGGGGGGAGCATGTATAATAGCCAAACAGCAGCAGTTAAGATATATTGAGTTCATTTTTATTTATTTTCATTGTTTTATGCATTTTCATAATTATTGGTGTTATGATTCCTTTGTCTAATGGAAAAAATATCAGAAGCTTGGTCATTATGCAAATATGGCTTCAAAACAGTCTTCTACGAAACCTAATCAAGCCAGTTTCCCACATCCACCTGACTGGGTAAATTACTGACCTTTCCCAACCTGAATCCACTCTTTTGTTTGTAGAAATAATGCCTCTTATTTCGTGATTTTTTTTAGGAGAACTAAAGGGGCAAGAGCATATGAAAAGAATGGAGCATGGAACTTGGTGCATATAAGCTTAATAAGAAAAAGTCATTCATACTACCACCATTGTTGACTGCCAGTGGAACAGTGTTTCAATTTCATGTGCTTGAAGCAAGATAAATCATACACACACACACACACACACACACACACACACACACACACACACACACACAGTTCTTATAGAAAACATGTCTTGAGCTTGAACTAACTTGCATGCAACAAAATAAACCCCTGAAAAGCAGAATTTGGGGTGGGGTTGGGTGGGAAGTGTTCAGGTTTGTGTGTATGTGAGTGCAGAACCCAGAGGCTAAGCTGGGGGTATAATTTCTCAAGAGTCATCTACCATGTTTTTTGAGACACAGTCATTCACTAGGACCACAGACTCCCATATTCAGATGGTCTGTCTGACCCAAGGCCCAGGGATTCTCTTGTCCCCATCCCCTCAGACGTCTGGCTTTTACAGTGGGTTCTCAGAATCTAAGTGAGGTCCCCGTGCTTGTGTGGCACTTTACTGACTGAATCATCTCTCCGCTTCTAAAACAGCATTTTATGATTGCTTTGCTTTTTGAGACAGGGTCTCACTATTTAGCCTTTGTTGGCCTAGGACTCACTATGTAAATTGTGTGGTCTTGAACTCACAGAGATCTGCATGCCTCCTCCTCCAGGTGCTTAAATTACTATATATGCTACCACACTCAGCTCCAAAGCAGCATTTTATATGTTTATGTATGAAGTGACATGATTCTCTCTTTGCTTTTATGTAATACACATTCCACCCATTCTTGGATCTGAATTTGCTTCTGGGCCTATAGGAAACTGCCTGTTTGAGTATCTGATACTCTATAGTTTTACATACTTAAATCCTTTCTAGAAAAAGATGCCCTAGCTTGAATAGACATGAAAAATGATGTGCACATTTCTACATCTTTACCTGACTGAGCACTATGCTTGAATATCCATCAGAGAGACTGCAGGTACGTAGCTTCCTGACACAGTCTAATGTCAGAGAGAAATATGCACTACAACCAAGGGTGGTGTGTGCTATAGTGGGAAACACTTGATATCAAAGCAATGCACAGAATGAATGTTTAGATTTGGTGAATCTTGGAAGATGGCTACAGGAGTTTCTTTAGGCTTAAAAATCACAAATATATCAAAATTCATTATTCTGATTTTGACTGTAACAGTCATGAATTATAATCCTATCATCTGCATGTAGCAATTAGAAATCAAATTTATGAGAATGGAGATGTATGTAAATTGGTAAGGATTGGCAGAGGAGTGACTATTTCAGAAGACATGGTTAATGTGGTTCAATAAATTACAATTTTTATGACAAAGAAAAATGCAGCCAGCAATGCACATCACACATTGCTATAAAATACAGAGGTGGAGGAAAACTTGTGGATCAGTTGAGATTTAGGAACAGATGATAGAAACAGCAAAAATATATTAAATGTCAGTTAGTAGCTGCAGAGAGAGTCTGAGATTAAGTGTGGCTTTTATTGACATGTAGGAAGAAGTAACACGTATCAGTAAAGACATTCACCAAATAAAGTCAACTAAACTAATGGTTAATCTTCAGTACTTTGGAGCATCTTGGCCCAGTTGAAAGCCCTGATTTAGAAAAATGAATAAGAAATACAAAAAGACAAAAGAGTTATAAAGACATGACAAAATAGTTGCTAACACTGAGGCGGCTAGGGAGTTCTTGGACAATCTGGGCATTTCTAGATTGGCAGTTACACTGACAGCTATCTTTATTCATAAAATAAACTGCCTACTGTAATGTCAAGATGAGTTTCAAATTCTACTTAAAAAACAAATAAGAATATTAGATTATCCAAATAGAAGATCCTAATAAAGATTTAATTGGTGTTGCTACTGTTTTTAAAAAGGCTTATATTTTATTTATTTATTGTTTGTGTGTGTGTGTGTGTGTGTGTGTGTGTGTGTGTGTGTGTGTGTGTGTGTGTGTGTGTATGTACTTGCATGTGTAGTGGTCAGATGTCAACCTGCAGAAGTTAGTTCTTTCCTTCTACTGTGTGGGTCCCAGGGATAGAACTGAGCTAGATAGTCTTGGGCACAAGTCCCTTTATTGCTGCACCGTTTTGCCAGGCTGGTACTGCTATTCTTAAAAGAAAATGGCTGTTTAAAGTATATGGTGGTAACAGAGTGTTGAGGTTGGTGTGCAGAAAATATAATGAAAACATGTTGATGATGCCCACTGATGCCCCTGAGAAGTTGGCATCCTGTCAAGGGGAAGGCCATTCCTCAGCTTAGTATCTTGGGAAAAGTTGATGGGACCAATGATATCGGTTAAGGGTTATAAAGCCCCAGGGATAAGAAGATAGGTGAAGCAAGACACACCAAAGGCGGATGAGTAGCTGAGGACGGTTGTACATGCCTGTATCCCAGCAGTTGGGAGGTTGAGGTGTGAGTATCAGGAGTCAGACTGGATGGACAAAGAAGATCAAGGTCAGTGTAGGATACTTAACAAGACTCTATCTCAAAAAGCAAGCACAGCAGTTTGTAAGCACAAGTACAACTGGCCGTAGAGTGGCTGAAAGGACTTTCGAAGTCACTGCTTCTCAATGGGCAACTTTCAGACATTTTTAGGCACTCCCTCCTTCCTCACACGCTGTGCCAGTTGGTTTTTGTCAACTTGACACAGGCTATAGTTGAGGATAGAATGTCACTTGAGAAGGGGACTAAATAAGAGTGATCCATAAGCAAGTCTATGAGGGCATTTCCTTGACTGACGGTTGATATGGAAGGGTCCATCCTGTTGTGGGCATCCCTGGGCATGTTGTCCTGGGTTGCATAAAAAGGGGAGCTGAGCAGGCTTTGAGAGACAAGTCAGAAAGTTGCATACTTCTGTGGGTGGATCCGGCTCAGTTCCTGCCTCCAGGTTCCTTCTCTGAGCACCTGTCCTGGCTCCCTTCAATGATGGACTGTGATGTGGGAGTGTAAGCCAAATAAACACTTTCCTTAGCAAAGTGCTTTGATCATGATCTTTATTACAATAGGAAACCAAGTAGCACACCCAGCTCCCCAACGTTTCCACAAAAGCCTCCATACATATACTTGAGTTATTTCTATTTCACGTTTTAAAAGAGAAACTTTGTCCTAAACAATAGTGAATATGATAAAATGCAGATGTCATAATGACATTATGTACTTTACCTAAGTAAGTATAATATTCTGTGAGTCTTTAAACTGTCAACAGGTAGAGTTCTGTATCTGGAATGGATATAGAATGAAAGAAAGACTATAAAAATGTAGAGACTCAAAACCATAGACTGTCATGTCCATTGACTCATAAACTCCTGAAGAAATGGAGAAGCATGGGCTTGAATGTTCCAGTTACATCACGTATGAAATAACTCTTGGTGTACATAACTGTCAGGCAGCAGAAGGCCTTAGCTTCTGACTAAACTGTCACAAGCAAAGGAAAATCTCCACATATAGATGGGCCATTTGATAATTAGTAAACTTTGCACCTAATTAATACCTGCTCTTCCTGGCATGAATTGGATGGGAAGGTAGAGACAGAAATATATAGTAAAGGGAATTTTAATCTAGAAAAAAGATTTCTAGGTGTAGATTGACATAGTAAATATTTGCTTTCCAGTTCTCAGCCTGAGGCTCTTGCCTTGACTTCTTTCTGGCAACCTCTGTCTTTCCAGAGTGAGAACCTTCTTTGTACGAGCAAAAGCATACCCCCATCTCGACTTCCTTGAATACCAAAATACCTCTGCCTTGAATTTTCCAAGAATACTAGGAGCAAATTCTGTTTTTCTAGATCAGGATGGCCTTAAATGACCTGTACTTCCCTACAGATGGCAAAGATAGATGGATACTCTTGCCTAGACCACATTCCTCCTCAGAGTCATGTTCTAAGTGTGTGTTCTCTGTAAATCTTTTTGTTTATATTCTCAGCTATGGTTTCTAGCTCCATTCCTGTTTCATGATGCCTGTATCAGGAGAACCCTGCACTAAGGCCATAGAACACTGTGAAACCTTCTTATCAAGGGGCCCTTTGTATCCACAGTTGTCCTAAGCACTATCCTGCCAGCAGAGGTTCTAATAAGGTTTAGTAGCAAAAGAGTGAGTGAGGAGGGCTGACTCTGGATGTTATTGGCAACTTCCTTCATCTAGCTCTTCCTTCTCAGGTAACAGAGTGTGGAACTCTTTCAAGAAAATGAAAAGGAAAATACCATCTTGCAATGTGCACCTGCTTTGTGCATTTATACAACTAAGATGAGCTATGTTGGCGGCTCTTCCCCAGTGAGACAGCCTTCCAAAGTGATGTGTGTGGTCTTCACCAAGAGAAAACAAGAACTGTCAGTTTCCTTTGTTAATATATTTAACAGGTAGTCTCCTCCACCAGAAAAAAATAGCATCTATTTCTCAATACATGCTACTTAAACAGCAAATTATTTTGTACAAATTACATAATTCTTAAAATAATGCTATTGCATAACTACTGCTAATACCATTTTTTATCAGTTTTAACTGAAGAAAAATGAAACTCAAGTAAGTTTAGAAACTTATTCAAAATTATGCAAGTAGGATTTGATGAAGCCTGTCTGATTTAGAAGCCAATGATCCTTGTCTGTCATATCACAACACATGGGAAAGTCATGCTGAAAAAATACATGTTTGGTAAGACCCAGAGATGAATAATTGCATGAGATATTTCAGGCTGGGTTGAAATTATTTTGAATGAATTGATTCAGCTCTCCTGAGGATATTGAGGATGAGTGTTCTTGCCTTCAAGGTGCTCCATGTTGTTGGGAAACCAGGCACTATGTATAAAGTATTGGGGTGGAACAATTGTAACCACATTTGCTGGAAATGATAACAAAGAGTTCAATGTCAATGGGCATGCTGGTTAATTTAATTGCTAATTTGACACAACCCAGAATCACTTGGGAAGAGAGTTCAATAAGGAATTATCAAGATCAAGTTGGCCTGTGGACATGTGGATAGGGGCATTTTCCTGGTTGTTAATTGATGTTGAAAGACCCAACCAACTGTGGGCTGCACTACTGCTTAGGCAGGGATTCCTATTATAGAAGTATAATAGAAAGGAATGTTCCTGAAAGCAAGCAAGCAGGAAATACACATTTATTTTTCTCTGCTCTTAGTTGTGGATGTGATGCTTCCGGTTCCTGCTTTGACCTCTCCTACACAGTAGAATTGGAAGTTCCAAACTCATTTTCTTCTTGAAGTCTGGTATTGTATTATAACCACAGAAATGAAATTGGCGTCAGATCCTCAGGGAACTGTACACCCTGCCTAACATGCTTTCTTTCGCCATTTACAACTTAGGCTCACTGGTGGGGGGGCACTGAACCCACCAACCTTCTTGGTGGTCATGTGATTTTGTTATGTTGTTCAAAGGATTCTACATTGCCTTTCTAGTTCAAGGGCTGTTTGTCTACTTCTCATGTTGTTGGTTTGCCCCTGAATGGTCTGCCATCACTCTGAAAATACTGTTTCCCTTACTATTGAAGAGTATACTGTCTGGTAGGGTGAGTTCAAAGGATGTGGTCTGTTGGGGAAAGGTGTGGAAATGAGACAGCTTATGGAAGGATCCAAAAAATGACCTGTCTACCCCCTCAAAAGATGAAATTCTATGTCTCTGAGGAGCAGAGTCAGATCTGAGTGTGTGTGTGTGTGTGTGTGTGTGTGTGTGTGTGTGTGTGTGTGTATGCTTCAGTGTGAGATTGTCTGTGATTACTCTTCATTTCAGTTAAGAAACACGGTAAGGAGTGTCTTCTACTTACTATTATACACACCTATTCATGCATATTGCATTTGTAGCTGCATCTGTTGTTAAGTTTCAGATTTTTACTAATTTATCCACAAATATTATGTCATCATTTCTGATAAAAAACCAATGTCATAATGGTTATCAGCCTAAATACTTTCATAAAAAAACACTTTTAAATCTATTCTAAATAATATTCAACTGGTAATTCTGTACAGAGTTTAATATTAAACTCTGATGATGTGGCTCAAAAGTTAGCTATTCATCCGGGCACATCAACCCACAGGTCATACATATTTTTAAACAAAGTTGTTTCTGGAGGTGAGTAGAGGTTTCTACCCCCAGATGTCCTGTAAACACAAGGCAAGATACCTGTGGAATGTCTTTTGTAGTGTTCTGTCTCTCTCCATGGACTCCTTCCTATTTAATGTGCTGTTTTATGGTTAACAAAAAATCATCCTATTCAGCCTTAGAGGTTCAGGCTTTGTCATCTGCCAACAAAGTTTACTGGAACAATATGCCAGGATCCTCCATCTGGCACCAGGTGCTACAGGGCTGTCTTCACATGACTTACTTTCATTCTGAATTCAGGGTACTACCACTTTTTCTAACTATTTCTTTCCTATACCTTGTGGATTTGGAACTGAGGTTGACTGCTGCTTTACGCACCACAGGAAAACACTCACTCTAAGAAAATACAAATATGATCAAAGGATCTTCTACATGACCCAGCCATACGATACCTGAGTAATTACCAAAAGGTTGTTTCTAAGTTGAGATATGTCAGAGATAATTACACATGACTGATAACTACAATACTATCAATGATAGATAAATTATGGAATCAATCTAGGTGTTCAACAGCAGAGGAATGGATAAGGAAAATATACACAATGGAGTTTTCTTCTCTTCATGTCATTTGCAGGCAAATGGATGCCATTGGAAAGAATTGTGAAGCAAGTTAAGTCAGTTGCAGAAAGATGAATACTATATCTGTGGTTCATAGATTCATCTACAGAGAAATATAAAACCATGCATCTGTAATCCCATTTGTGGTTCATAGATTCATCTATAGAGAAATATAAAACCATACATGAAAGTAAACTAGAAGTTACATCATCTAGGGCAGTGGTCCTCAATATGCGGGTCTTGACTCCTTTGACCTTTCACAGAGGTCACATATCAGATATCCTGCATACCAGATATTTACAATATGATTCATAACAGTAGCAAATTACAGTTATGAAGTAGCAACAAAGTAATTGTAAGGTTGGAGGTCACTACAGCATGAGGACCAGTATTAAAGGGTCTCAGCATTAGGTAGGTTGAGAAGAACTGGCCTAGGGGAATAGAGAAGATGAGTGAGAAAGGGATCAGTGAGAAAATGAAGGCTGGGGTAAGAGAAAAAGAGAAAAGAGGCTTAACCTATAATACATACATCTATTCAAGCCTCAAAAACCACATCTGTGAAGAAGAAAATACCATCAAGAAAGCAAAAATGCTTATAAGAGGATTCTTAATGCCCCATTCACGGTCCACCCTTGCAGTATCAGTTTTCGAGATGTGCTTCTATTCAAAGAATGAACAGATACTAACCTTGTAGCCCATGACTTCAGACTCATTGGCTAAAGGTCGGACTGGCTCCCAGCCTAGGGAAACCTGAGACCCCTGCTGCTCCCACCTGAGGTTGCCAGGAGGCTCGCTTGGAGCTGTAAGATAAAAAGGGAAGCAAATTGACAAGCCCCAAATGCATTCCTTCATTTCAGTCCTGAGAATTTCTGTCTCTGTGTCTGGTAGCTGGCTGGTGCCATAGGCTTCCCTCCAGCTGGAATCAGATGAGGAGGGTTTGCTCCAGGACTGTCATTTTAATAGCTACTCCACTGAGCTTTTGAACTTGAATCCTTTTATCTCCCTTCTGTGTCAAAATCGCTTTGCCTTGTTTCACAGGATGATAACCTTTACAAACTGTGAATGCAAAGTTTTTTTAGCTGGTTTCGGAATTCAGATCTGAGCAATGAAGCAAGACTCCCTTTGACTCTGCTTATCATGCACCCTGTGCTGCTTCTGATCATGTGGCTTTCAGAAACCCAGAAAGATGTTCAGTTCTGTCAGAAACAAACAAAAGCCCAGGTCACTTACGGCGTCTCTTGGTGGTGGCACTCACTTCCCCGCTGGGTGGTCCGTATCCTGCTCCATTGTAAGCCCTGACAGTGAGGTGATAGCGGGTGTCGCCTTCCAGTCCTGTCAACATGACGAATGACTCATTCCCTCTGGTTCTGACTGTTTCTGCAGAGTCTTCTGGCTCCATATCTTTCCAGTAACCAATCTGTCAACACATTATCGCAAGACAAATGAATGTGAAAATCTTCCCAGGATTATGGTTGCCTGCGTACCCCTTCTCTTTTCCCTTGCAGCCCTGTCCGCTCTACCCTGGCTACTGTGGGGTTGAGGCCAAATGGCATTTTCCAGGTTCTCTTTTAGCTAAGCTTGCTGGTCTAAGAGGTGGGCAATGAGAAGCAAGTTTGGAATCTTCAGATTTCCTCTGGCATGTCTCAGGTGATTGTAACACAGGAACCCACCAAAGGCTCTGGTCTCAGGGGGGCCTGTGTTCCACTGGGATGTCTTGAGGACCTGAGGCAGCCTAGATGCTGGCTAATGGAATAAGCACAAAAAGGGGAAGATAATTACAGAACGCCACTGCAGTCTTTTCTCCTTTTCACGTGCATGTGTGTGTACCTGTGTGTACCTATGCACATGCATGTTTGCACATGTGTGGAGCCCAAGGTTAATTTCAGGAATCTTCCTTGATCCCTCTTCACTTTATTCTTTCAGGCAAGATTTCTCAATCAAATCTTGAGCTCATCAACTAGCTTGTCTTGCTAGCCAGCTTGCTCTGGGAATCCTCGTCTCTGCCTTGGGAAGCTGGAGTTACTGGTGGCTGCCATGTCCGCCCAGTGTAAACGCTGGGCGGACATGGCAGCCACCAGTAACTCCTGCTTTTCTTGCTCGTGGCACAAGCACTTTGACTATGGAGACGTCACCTTAGTCCACCCCTGTTTGCCTTGATTGTTTTGCACGTTTATAAATATGAGCTGGTGTTGCCTTCCTCTCATGTCTAGTAGGGCAGTGTATCTATTTTAATAGACTGTATTAGCGGTGGAGCAAACTCTCATGCTGAGGTCGGCTGCTGAGGGGTCCTTTGGTTCTCCTCTGTGGAGACAGAATGTATCAGCTATTTTTCTTCCTGTTGTGGCCAAAGTACCCGATGAGAAGCAACCTAAGTAGAAGAGGGTTGGTTTAGGCTTAGAAACTTAGAATTCAGCAGGGTCTGGCCAGGGATGGCCGGCCAGGCATGCCAGCAGAAGTGGCAGCATCTAGTCACATCGCCTCAGGTAGATAGAAGGGAGAGAGAGAGAGGAAGCAGGGCAGAGCTACAGAACTCGAGGCCCTTCCCTCAGTGACCTGCTTCCTCCAGTGCAGCTTGACCCCTAAAGGTCCCCTAAACGTCCTCAGCAGTTCTGGGAACAGAGGGGTCACACACTAGGTCTGTGAGGAAAACGTCACATTCGGACTTCAGCAGAGAACGATGGCAGTTGTGTTGGGAAAAGCGATGCTGGCATTGGGCCCTCGTACACCACCACCCTTGTCACACTGAGGCTTTGGGTGACGAGTTGGATGGTATATATTTGGTGACTATAGTACGCGTAGACGCTGGACAAACGGAGGGACTGGTTGGTGACGAGTTGGATGGTATATATTTGGTGACTATAGTACGCATAGACGCTGGACAAACGGAAGGACTCGTGAGTTCCCGGTGTCCACTCCCCATTGTTGTGCTTTGCTTTGCCGATGGAGAACCGGCCTTTGTACTCCTCAAGTTCTCCGGCAGTTTGGGTTCTGGTCAGGCTTTTGGTTTGGCTAGGAAGCATGCATGTGGTATGAAACCAGATGTGAGCAGAAGTCTTGCCACTTCAGCTCTTCTGCTGGCAAATAAAAACATGGAGGCATTTTTTTTTCTCTTTTCTTCTCCCAGCGGCATTAAGACATGTTTTGTTGCCTAGTCATTGGCTTGGTGGGGCTCAAGAATTAGGTTCATTGCTTATATTTTGCTAGTTCAAATCAGAGCAGACACAGTGGGATTCTGGACCTGGCATTAATCACAGGGTCTTGAGGTAAGGATGGCTTCCTCCCTGTCACACTGCAGTAATCTTGGTGGCTCCCTGGTCACAAGCGCCTTAGCTTCTGGACTTGATGGCTTCCTGCTTTTAAAATAATTAGCTTTGTCTTTTGTGTTACTAGAGATTGATCCTGAGAGCCATTCTGGAATAATTCCCTGCATGAACTGCCTCAATTTTGCTAACTGCAAAGGACACATACAATCCACATTGCTTAAAAGAGTTATCAGTTCTTCACAAGTGAACCTCAACTGACATATTTGTAGAGACCTCTAATTTATATATAAAAGAGGGCTAGTAAAATGATCAGATCTTTCAGCCAGTCTCTCCAAAGAACTGGAGGAGCATACAGTCACGTGAGTGAACTTTAGAAAAGTCGTTTTCTAAAACGGGAAGCCCTCCTTCTGCCTTTCATATGCTGCTGGCCCCATTATTCCCAATTCCAAAACCCAGCTTGTCTTGCTTGGACTCTGGGAATGTTTTGAACAGAAGAAAAAGTCCAAGTTATATTCAAGCTAACAAGTTGGCTGAAAAGTTACTGGCTGAATGAATACTCATTTTTCTTTTCCGGCGATGCATCTGATTTCCTGGCTTCTGCCTCGATGTCTCTTAATCAGTTACATTTTTAAAAATATAATTAAGTATATTTTGATATAACTGAGTGATTAAATTAAGCAAATTCCAGGTTTTTGTAAAATTACACAGTTTGGATTTCTAAACATTGGATGTTCAATATTCTGAGTAACCACTACAAAGGTAAACATCTCAAATAAAATAAGGAATGTGCGCATTGGGAAAATGATGAAGATGAAGAAGATTATATCCACTGAATTCACACCTAGCAGTTTAGACTTCCCAGAGAGGAGTCTAAAAATTTATTTTTAATGCACATATAATAAAGCATTACAAGATCAAAGGGGTTGTAATTAATAGTGAACTTGTAATTCTTTACCTTTGAGATGTGGGAGAGAACAAAAATTTGGACTGAAATATATTATTTCTTCAGTGATTTTCAAGCTTGGATTGGGGCTAAAAAGTCCCAGCAAGTCACACACACCCCATGAAGCTGAGAGTTTGCTCATTTGATTTCTGCCATCAGATATTGATTTCTGCCGTCAGATATTGATTTCTGTCATCAGATATTGATTTCTGCTGTCAGATACTGATTTCTGCCATCAGATATTGATTTCTGCTGTCAGATATTGATTTCCACCATCAGATATTGATTCCATAAACTCACAAATTTTGAGTTCCACATGTGAAATTCTTGTAATGAAGTTAAAAACATCAAAAGAGATAAATATGCAGATGCTAAATAGGAGCAAAGTACAATGAAATACCTGGATGTTTTGTACATCAGGAAGAATTTAATTTAAAAAGATACTTAATATCAGCATCATGTACAGCCCACTGTTTCATTACCCTCACAGAACTTTGTGTTTTCTTCGATGTTTATGTATGTATGTCTATACCTATAATTTTGTGTCCAGCTTTCATCCCCTGATATTGTTGTACACTAATTCTTTCCCATTTTAAAGATGTGACATATACAATATAAACAATATCTTATTGTGGAACAGTTGAGTAATTTACAACTATCACTTTTACTCTGTTTAATTAATTTATTATTTTTCCATGTGCATTTGTGTGTGTGCGTGTGTGCGTGCGTGCGTGTGTGCGTGTGTGTGTGTGTGTGTGTGTGTGTGTGTGTGTGTGTGTGTGTGTAGGCCCTAGGTTTATCAGGCTCTATTGCTTCTCCACCTTACTCATTGAGGCAGGCTCTGTCACTCAAACCCTGATCTCGATGATCTGGCCAATCTCTGGCCTGCTTTGTCTGGGGATCCTGTCTCTGCCTTTTGGAGCTGGTTACAGGCAGCTGCCATGCCTGTCTGGCATATGCTGGGTGCTGGGATCTGACTTCCAATCGTTTTACTTGTGTGGAAAGTGCTCCCCAACTTTTGCTTCTGATTAAAGTGTTGCTGTGGCTAACTCACAGCAGGTGCTTTTGGCATGTTATCTTAATTTCCCAGAATAGATCTCAGAAAGGAGATTATGGGCTTGAAAGTTAGGAAGAAAATTAAGCCTTCTGATATAAAAATGCTACATTAGTTTTCAAAGAGTTTGTACTATTTTTGTTTCCAACAGAAATCCATAAATATAGGAAAATTTCCATATTGTTACAAGCTCTCGGCAGACCATGGCATTGAAGACAGAAGGTTTATATTTAAATCTTACTTTGGGTACATGCAAGCTGCATGTGGGGCAGTGTACTTAGCCAGTGAGTGCTGGTAAGCCTCCTTATAGGGATCTCTCGCTACACTTCCCTTGGCTTCCCACTCCCTGTGTGAGGCGTTCTGGTTCCTGCTGTTAAAGACTTCAGAGCATTTGCTAATTGTAATACATGCTATGTTTTTGGTCCTTAATGTTTGTTTTGATCTTTTATATTTTCTCATGTTAAAATATTAGTTTTTATTTAAAATGTAACTGACACACAGCTTTACTAGTGTACGGCAGGAAATACTGATTTTTGTACTTGTTCAGTATATGAGATTTCTATTCATGTCTTTTGCTGCAAATATCCTACCTTCTCCGCAGCTACCTGAGTTCACAAACACAAATTCTTTTGTCCCTCACATGTACCATCTCCTCTCTGTTTTTAAAACATAATTTTCTTGCACATTTGCTCTGCATTCTGAGGTTATTTCTTAGGTTTTTACTTTGAAGTCTCAATTGAAATATTTAGCAGTACTGGGGCTGTAGATTTGGCCCAGTGGTTAAGAGCACTGGCTGCCTTCCAGAGGACCCAGCTTCAATTTCCAGCACCTACATGTCTGCTTGTAACCATTTTTAATTCCAATTCTAGGGAATCTAATGCTCTCTTTCAGCTTTCCTGTGCACCAGTCACACATGTGGCACACAGACATACATTCAGGCTACACACCCATACACATAAAATAAAAAATATTTAGCAGTATTAACTTTGCATCTCGTTGTTCTTATTGGATATTTCATTTTGGTAATTTGGGTCCAGATTTTGATGGTGTTTTCTTCATATTCTGAGATGTGCTTTAAGAATAGAAAAGATTGTTCTCACTCATTTCCTGAAAATGTAGAATCATGTGCTTAAAGTTTTTCTTCTGGGTAAGAGATT